GATAAAATAAACAAGACCTATGAGGATATGAAAATGAATCAACTAGAAATAAAGAATACATTGTCTGAAATAAAAAATATTATACAGAGTCTTAAAAACAGAATGGAAGATTGCAAGAATTAAATAAAAGATTTGGCACATAAAGAGCCAGAGGACACACCTCCACAGAAGCAAGAAGACAAGAGAATCCAGAAAGTTGAAGATAATGTAAGAAGCCTCTGGGACAACTTTAAGTGAACCAACATCAGAGTTATGGGGGTCCCAGAAGAAGAGAAAGAGCAAGATACTGAAAACATACTGAAAGAAATAGTGACAGAAAACTTCCCCCACCTGGGGAAAGAAATAGACTTACAAGTCCAAGAAATGCACAGCACCCCAAATAAAAGGAATCCAAAGAGGAACACACCAAGACACATCATAATTAAAATTCCAAGAGCAAAAGACAAAGAGAGAATATTAAAAGCAGCAAGAGAAAAGCAGGTAGTTACCTATAAAGGAGCACCCATACGATTGTCAGCTGATTTCTCAACAGAAACCATGCAGGCCAGATGGGAATGGCAAGAAATATTCAAGGTGATGAATAGCCAGGACCTATAGCCAAAAATACTCTACCCAGCCAAGCTATCACTCAGAATCGAAGGCCAGATAAAGAGCTTCACAAATAAAAAAAAGCTAAAGGAGTTCATCACCGCCAAACCAGAATTATATGAATTGCTGAAGGGGGTTCTTTAGGAAGAGAAAGAAGATAAAGATAAAAATTATGATCAACAAATATGTAACTATCAACAAGTGAGCCGAAACCTGTTTGGCTCAGTGGATAGAGCGTTGGCCTGCGGTCCCAGGTTCGATTCCGGTCAAGAGCATGTACCTTGGTTGCAGGCACATCCCCAGTAGGGGGTGTGCAAGAGGCAGCTGATCGATGATTCTCTCTCATCGATGTTTCTAACTCTCTATCCCTCTCTCTTCCTCTCTGTAAAAAAATCAATAAAATATATTTACAACAACAACAACAACAACAAAAACAAGTGAAACTAAAAGCCAAGGGAATTAAAAAACATAATGAACAATATTAACTGGTAAATATAATAGAATCAGAGGTATGGAAGGGGAGTGGACTGACGATTCTCGGGGAAAAGGGGAGAAGGAGGTGCGGGAAAAGACTGAACGTAAACTGTGCACCTATGGATGAGGACAATGGGGGGTGGAGAAAGGGCAGAGGGCGGGGTGGGAACCTGGTGGAGGGGAGCAATGGAGGTGGGGGGAAAAATGAGGAACATTTGTAATAATATGAGCAATAAAGATTTATTAAAAAAAATAAAATATACTGAATGTCAACTGTAGTTTGAAAATAAAGGATGACTGGGCTGTGCAGAGGAAGTGCTGGGCAGGCGGGGCTTCCTTTGGCTGGATTGGAATGGAGAGGGGCCAGGATGAGGATGGATTTACCACGTTTGGCTGCAGGTCGTCTGTCATTCTCATGCTGCCTCTTCCAAACTCATTTGTGTCAGGATCACATCGGAGGGGCACTCTTCAGCCCTGAGATGTATCGTGACAGTTATACACTGAGATCTAAAGTCCCAAAGGAGAAAGGGAGCCACCGTTGTTAAGCCTCTGCCATGTGCTTCACAATCTACCTTAACCCTGAGAATCAGGGTAACCATACAATTTACCCTCCAAACTGGGGCTCCTGAGAGTAAAAGGACAGCAGATACAGACGGGGCTGTTGCCCCGGACAGGCCAGTGTGTGGCCGGCCAGCGGCCTCTGAGGTGGGGGTGGTTTTATCGCATTTTGGAGGCAGGGCCACAAGGCTCAGAGAAGTTGGAAGATCACCGTTAGTGATGTTAATGAAAAATACCATTAAAACCGGTAAAGGATTTTTGTGAGTTTTTTTGAACCTAACTATGGACACACTCCAGGAAGCAGAGCCTCAACAGATTGGGATAATGCTCCAGAGAAGGGCGGTTTCTCATCTATTTTTATACATTGCAGTCAAAGGAGGGACATAGGTGGCTTACATGAAATTCATTGGTGATAGACTAGAGAGGTGGGAGAAAGCAAAGCTGGGGAAACCCCTGGGATTGGATAAAAGGTAAAATGATAGACACATGCTTAGGTGTGTGCAGGCACAATTACATGATTACAATGAAGGAATTGGTGGTCTCTGTCCTGGTGCCCAGGCACATCAGGTTGTGCCCCAAGGGTCTGAAAAAAGGGAAGTTGCCCAGACATTCCAAGGGTATGTTATCATAGATGCAAAAAGACAGATAGGCTCAGATAAGGTAAAGGTTGACCTTGTCAGTGAAGATACCGGCCCTGTCTGTGCAGCTTCCGACGGGATAGATGTGTCCTCCAGGCTCCCAGCCACTGGCAGGCCGAGGCCTCCTGGAAGGCCCAGGAGAGGAGGCTGTGTTCTAGGGCAGCGCTTTTCAACCTTTCTGTCCCACAGCATATGAACCAGCTACTAATATTCTGCAGCTCACCAAACATACTACATAGTTTGTGCCTACCTGACAAAAAATAGGTGTAATTTTAATTCTTTCACACCGGCTGGCTATTGTTACACTTTTTTACGTGACAATCTAAGAGAAAAGAGGGCAGTGGCCCCGGCGAAGCTGTCAGATATTGCGGGTGTTAAACATTCTGTGGCCGCCGGCGGAGATCCTGCTCTGTGGGGAGATTGCCGGCACCTAAGAAAGTGTACCAGGTGCCTACCGTGTGCTCCGTGCATGAGCATCACCGGGCTCTTGTTAGAGAAGCAGGAGAGCAGGTCACTCCGGACTTTCTGAATGGGCGTCTGTCAGAGGAGGGGCGGGGATGAGGGGTGGGGATGAGGGGCGGGTGTGGGATTCTGCGCTGCACGCCGGGGTTTGAAAGGCACTTCTGGAAGGGGTCAGAGGCAAAGGTCAGATGCATATCCTCAGGAAGAGAAACCACTGCTTCATATCAGTTCATTCAGAAATGGTTAAATCTCCTAATAAAAATGGACACATATAGTGCAGGGGGGAAGGCAGTGAGTAATAATAAAATAATGAAATAAAATGATGAGATAACTAGCATGTATTGACTATTCCCTAGGCCCCAGATTCTGAGCCAAACATGTATATTCTTTATCTGATTGTACTCTTCTAACGACCAAAGAGTGGTGCATTACCTCCATTTTATCAGTCAAAAAGCTCAGTTCAGGGACGTGAAGAAATGGTAGGGAAGATGCAGATTCTGGCATACTGCAGCCCTGAATCCACACACTGTATTAACTGGCTCCTGTGCCATTAGCGATCAACTTAATGTTGCATAAATTTGGTTTTATGCCTTCTTTGGGGACAGGATCAGCATCATATGTTGTCCCTTTTGTCCCCTGTGCCTAGCAGAATGACTATACACAGTCGGGACTTGCTATGGAACTGAATCAAAGGAAACAGTTTGCTCCCGATGCAGGAATGAGATGTAAAATTGGGGGGTACTGAGACTGAATTGAGAAAGTGGTGTCATTTCTGGGATGACAAGCTCCAGGTAGGAGGTAGCTGATGGGCGGAAGCACAGGATGCAGGAAGGAACGGGGTGCTTTACCCCCTCCTGTGCAAAATTCTGATTTAATGTGTTATTGCACTTTTGGGACAGTTATAAACAGTGTTGAATCATGGCAGTGGTCATGGATATCTCATTCCTGAGCTTAAGGAATTGCATTTACCATGAACTGTGGTGCGATTATTTCAGATAGCGTTTATTCTGTGAATGAAGTCGGCTATTTCTAGCTAACTGCAGCGATCTGTGGTTTTCCCATTTGCCCTGTAGCTATGATGTCTATTTTAACAGTAAGTTTTCTAAGATTGAACCATCTTTGCATTCTTGCTAAGAGTCATTATATATTGATATTAGCCTTCTGGTAGGTAGCTTAATTCAACCCAACATATTCCTTTGGATTTTTCTCTCATAAGTGAGATGGTTGGCACTGTATCCTTAAGATCTGTACAACTGACAGGATCTACACCATTTCCATTTTCTCATCTCCTTCCCTTGGTGACTAATGCGCTTCTTCCTGTTCCTCCAGCCTGATGTTGTATTCCACCTTAATGTGGCCAGCACCTGCACTGCTACCCTCTGTTCCTTCCCTGCTCTTATGGCCTTCTTTATGCAATGCTCTTGATTGAGGGTGGAGCCAATATCTTTCCAACCTCCTCTCTGTGGACTGTTTGAGTTCTGGGTACGGGTGCTGCCTGGGTGTATCTTGGCTTAGTGGACAACTCTTTCTCTCCTAGCTCTTTCTTTTTGACTTGAGTAAAATTCACATAATATAACTAAAAAATGGCATTTAGTACCTTCATAGTGTGCACATAGCCGTTCTCTCTGTCTAGATCCAACAAATTTTTATCGCCTGTAAAGGAGACCACACACCCTTTAAGTAGTCACTCACCATTCTCCCCCGACCCTCAGCCCCTGGCAACTGCTAGTCTGCTTTCTGTGTATGAGAATGAGCTGTTCAGGATGTTTCATATCCGTGGACTCATACAACACCTGACCCTTTGTGTCAGGCTGCACACATGTTTATAGCAGCCCTGTTCCCAAAGGCCAAAGGTGGGAACAGCCGAATGTGGTCAGCGGAGGAGTGGTGAGCTGGTGGTCCGTCCATACCACGGGCTGTTAGTCAGCGGAAGGACAGCGCTGCTGCTGCAGCACGGGCGAGCCTTGAGAACGTGGTGCTAACTGGAAAATGCCCGCCTTCCCGTGGCCTCTGTGGAAACACGCTCAGAGAGGGGACCACCAGTCTTAGGGGTGGAGGGGGAGAGTGGAGAAAGTCAACAATCCATTTTACCAATGCAGAGCAGAGCCCTATCTCGTCAGTGCATCTCGCTTCGCGTGCATTTTATTTTAATGAAATAAGATCCACTAAGGGAGTGTGGTGCCAAGAGCCCCGCACAGGCTCTACAGCCACTGCCCGTTGGTGCTTAAACGTTCTGGGCGCTGACAGTCCTCATGCTGAGAGTGTTTTCTCTCTTTCCAGTCAGAGATGCTAAAAACCTTGTCCCCATGGACCCCAATGGCCTGTCAGATCCCTATGTGAAGCTGAAACTCATTCCGGACCCAAAAAGCGAGAGCAAGCAGAAGACCAAGACCATCAAGTGCTCCCTCAACCCCGAGTGGAACGAGACATTCAGATTGTAAGTTGAAATTATTGCAGCCCAGTTTGGGGGGTGGCCCCGGAGATGGGGAGTTCCTCTCCCAGATGTTCCCTCCCTCCCTCCCTCCCTCCCTCCCTCCCTCCCTCCCTCCCTCCCTCCCTCCTTCCTTCCCTCCCTCATTTCTTCTCCTACTCTTTTCTTCCTCCTTTTTTCCCCTTCCATCTGCATTTTTGCATTGCAAGTCAAGTAGACATTGAGCCCACTTTTTTAATAGAGTTGAGAATGTCTGTGCTGTGGGGAGTGGGTGGCATATAAAATTGTGTAATGCGTTGCTAGGTGAAGGCAAGTTGTGGGAAGCTCAGGGTCTCGCAAACCCATAGGGTGTGGGGCTAACCTCTCCAGGGCTGAGTTTATGGGAAATGCTGGGCCTGCGCCCGCTGGGCGCTCCTGCCGGCTTCCACGGAGGGTCTTCCCTGGCCGGTGCTCCGAGAACTCGGGATTTTTTATCGCCACGCCTGGGCCAACGAGTGATATTGGCCTATGCTTACTGAGCACATACTATGTATAACAAGCACTGCGTAAGTGACCTGGCTCCGTTGGCCACTTCAGCCCATTTTACCAAAGGAGCTTACAGAATGTGCCCCAAGTCCCACAGCAAACAGCGGGGGGAGAGACAGCCTTTGACAGTGACTTGAGAAGCTGCGGGCTCAAAGCATGATTCCTTGAGGGTAGCCTCATCCCCTCTTTCCTCTCTCAAAGCCAGTCTCGGGGCCCATCTCCGCCTCAGCCAGGAAGAGGCCTCAGAATATGCATTTCCCCCAGACCAGCACCTATGATACACTCCAGCCATTTCCCCAGCCTCTCCTATAACCCATATGTGTGCTAACACCCACACAATTACAGTATTTCTTTTTTAAAAATATATTTTATTGATTTTTCACAGAGAGGAAGGGAGAGGGATAGAGAGTTTGAAACATTGATCAGCTGCCTCTTGCACACCCCCTACTGGAGATATGCCCGCAACCAAGGTACATGCCCTTGACCAGAATCGAACCCGGGACCCTTCAGTCCGCAGGCCGACGCTCTATCCACTGAGCCAAACTGGTCAGGGTGACACTGTATTCCTTATAGTGACTCTGTCCACAGGTTTCCAATCACCCCGAGCCCTGGAGAGACAGAGGGAGGCAGAGGAGTCGCTGGGACTGCGCCTCCCAGTGCAGCAGGCCTCCCCTGAGTCACAGGCTGTCAGACAGAGGAAGGCCTTCCTCACCGGGTGGAAACGGGATAGATTTCTTCCAACAGCTTGTAATCTTCAAAAGGGCCCCCTTCGGGCCTTGCCCTACTGCACGTTTCATCTGCTTGCGAGGTCATGGCTGCCGGCACTGACACCCCCCCCTCCCCCCGTCTCTCTCTGCAGCCAGCTGAAGGAATCGGACAAAGACAGGAGGCTGTCCGTGGAGATCTGGGACTGGGACCTGACCAGCCGGAACGACTTCATGGGCTCGCTGTCGTTCGGGATCTCGGAGCTGCAGAAGGCGGGGGTGGACGGCTGGTAAGGAGGGTTGCTGTGGGAGCCGTGGGGCAGCCGGGCCCATCAGACGTGGGCCGCACTGCAGCCCTTTCCTCCTGCCAGTGCAGCCCCGGCGCAGAGTCAGAGTGGAGGCTGGAGACTGGACTGGCCTCACAGATGTGTTTTATTTGGTCCTCGTGCTGAAAAGAAAGAAAAAGAATTAATTGCCAATATTTTAAAAGTCAAGACTTCCCATAAAAATCTGGACGTAGGTCTTGAAAAACCAGGAAAATCTGGGCACACTGGGCCCAATCCAATGAGAACAGTTGAAGCATTAATGTCCCCTTAGACAGGATTCAGTATTTGCCACAGTCCCCACCACTCCCTATTGTCTTACATCAGCCCCATTTCACATGATTATGTGACCCAACTGGCCCCATGGCTGCTACAGCAGCCCTCACAATTTACCCCCCAGATGTGCGCAACCACAGCCAGACCTGGACCCCTTTAAGAAGTCTCCTTCCCAGGACTGGGACCACGCCTGAGACTCGCTGGCCAGGCAGTAGCATGTCTCTTTCTGCTGGGTTTTTGCCTGGTCCCTTCCTAAGGCAAAAGCTCCTTGCCAGTATTCCCAACAAGGAGGCTGGGCAGCCTCCGGGCAGCCAGCTGTCTGGGTGAAGGCGCCCAGGCAGTCGGTCCCACGTGGGCTGTCAGCGTGGGAGAGTGGTAGCCACAGCTCTGGCTTCTGGACGAGAAACCCTAGCATTTCTGAGTGGCCTGGGACCTTTTCCGTTACCAGTGAAAGTCAATCAAACTCAAACTGGCTTAGCAAGAAAGGGAACCGATCCCAGGACCCGCTTGCAAATGCCTTGTTTCTCCTTCTTCCGGCCAGGGCTTCCTCAGACTCTATAGGCACTGGGTGTCTGTCTGTCTGTCACGGGAGGCATGTGAGTGGACAGACGTGCTCCACAGAGCTGGTTCCAGAGGGGTAGGCCTTGAGGAGGAAATCAGACAGCGGTCACAGTGTGAGTAGACAAGCCAAGAGGACAGAGCCCAGGCAAACAAGAAAAGAAAATGATCAGGAGCCTTAAAGCACAAATGGTTAAAACACGATTCTCATGAGGAGACTTTGTCAGGGCTCCCCTCGGTCACAGGGAACCCGGAGGCAGAGCCGCTGGCCCGGGGTGTGTGTGGGTAGGAGGAAGGCTGACATGACCGGGAGTTGGAGGAATCGGCCACTGAGCAGCAGTGAGCTGCTGCACCGAGGCTGGGCGGCAGAGCAGCTGCCTGGCCACCAGTCCGTCTGAGTCCGGTTCTCCTCGGCTCCTCATCTTGTTTACACTGTCTCCACGCCTCCTCCTGGGCCCCAGAGGTTCGTCTGCGTTATTGTTGTTTCCTCCAAACAATCGGCTCTGGGGTTTGTGTATCAAGTCTGCGCTTCTTTCCCCCTTCCTGTAGGTTTGTTTGGTGGCCTTTGAATTTCAGCTGAACACTTTGCTAATGTATTTTTCCTCTCTTAACCTCTTTTGCGCTTTAAAAACAACGAACAGCCCTAACCTGTTTGGCTCAGTGGATAGAGTGTCGGCCTGCAGACTGAAGGGTCCCAGGTTCAACTCTGGTCAAGGGCATGTACCTTGGTTGCGGGCACATCCCCAGTAGGAGGTGTGCAGGAGGCAGCTCATCGATGTTTCTCTCTCATCGTTGTTTCTAACTCTCTATCCCTCTCCCTTCCTCTCTGTAAAAATCAATAAAATATATTTTAAAAGTTAAAAATTAAAACAAGGAACAGGCTCGGGAGGGAAGAGACTTCCTCCCAGTTCTGGCACGTTGCGTTCTAGCTGTCTCTGCTTCCGCAGGTGCACAGGTGCCGTGTTCATTTCCTTCCAGCTGCTCCCACAGGAGCTCTCTCAGCCGAGGGCAGACCCCAGTGCCTCTGGGACTCCCAATGGTACCGCACCCACACAGGCCAGGTTTCTCCCACACCCACACCTTTCACCACAGGAAGCACCCATGGCTTCTTGCCGTATCCAAATGCCAGTGTCCCACCGGCTAGGCTTTGGGGCCACTCTTCGGTAAATCAAGGGTGACTTGGTTAGAAGCCCTGGGTCACTGGGACAGCTGCTCTGTCACTAGGACGGCCGCTAAGTGACTGGCGGAGGCCTCGCTGGAGGCAGGGCTGGCACAGCTGGGCTGCCGCTCGCCCACTGCTTTAAGGAGGAGGTGGCACGGCGCCGAGCCTTCATTCTACCGACTACTTAGACTTGGCACCATTGAGTGGATATGGTTATGTTTTTACAGTCGCTGGTCCTTGAAACCAGTGACATTGGCCTCATTTCTAAGAGAGATCAAAGTGAATTTATTATTAAAAAAAAGAAATAATTTAGTGAAAATGATTAGTTGATAATATCCAGGTTTATTGAAATCCACGAAGGTGAGCAAAGTTTGCCAAACCCCCCTCCATGCGTCTTCCTCTGACTTTGTGCAGGTTTCCAGAAGCCCTTGCTGTGTCAGGGCACCCTTCTGACTTCTGGAAGACACGGTGCTCTCTCTGTTTGTTTTCCGTTTGGAATCAGTGGGAACTCTGAAGGGGAGATTGAATATGAAATGTGGAGGCCCGGCTGGCGCCTCGGCCTGGAATCACCGAGCCGGATGCTAGAAGCTGCCTGGGAGGGTCTGTGGGCGGAGAGGGAGACTGCTGGGTTAGGAGGCCTCCTTCGGGACAGGCGCTGCGGATCTTCCCTTACTGACTGGGTGCCTGCCTGCCGGCACCCTTTTCCCTCCCCGTCTCCTCTTGGTGGTCAGGGAAACGGGAGCATCGGGTTTACTTAATGGCGTCACTATCCGTGATGCGATGATGGTGCCTGTTACTTACTGAACACGTGCCAACTGCCAGGACTCGGCTCATTTTTCGTGTGTCATCATGTCTTGCCTTCACAATGATCCTACAAGGAAGAGGCTTTTATTCCATTTAAAGATGAGAAAAGCCAAGACTCTGAGGGCCTAACCAGCTGACCCAAGGGGTCCTGGAGACAAAGGCAGGGGTGGGATTCGGACAGAGACGGGGTCCGACTCCAGGACTGGTGTCCCTAGCCACGGAGGGAGTCTGTTCTGCTAATCTTTGGGGTACAGTCATCACGTGCCCTGTGCCAGGAAAGCACGCTGCAGCATGCGTGAAAGGAGAGGGCGTCGGTGCCGGGAGAGGGACGGGAACGTGGCACAGAGCTTCAGAGCTCTTCCAGAACAGAAATCCCCCAACGGGCAAACAGTAGTGCCAACTTGCTGTATAACTAAGGCAGTTGTGGGGGGAGAGAACGAGAGTATGTCACATCCTGTAAGCACAGAATGTACATTTTCTGGTGTCCATAGAATAGTTACAAAAATAAAAATATAGAGCATACCTGGCTACACACACACACACACACACAGATATAGACCACACACATACACAGACATGCACATGCACGCACGCCAATGCACACACACACTCACACACACACCCCAGGACAAACCCCTCAGCATGCTGGAGTAGAGCTTTCCCTGGCCGCCGCCCCTCCTCTGCGATGGACACGGCTGCACAGTCACGGATGCATCCTGGCCTTGTCTGCCCGCAGGTTTAAGCTGCTGAGCCAGGAGGAGGGCGAGTACTTCAACGTGCCCGTGCCGCCGGAAGGAGGTGAAGGCAACGAGGAGCTGCGGCAGAAGTTTGAGGTGAGCGGTCCCCTGCCCGCCCCGGGGAGCCGGGGGGCCGCCTCGGGCTGTCTGTCCCGTTCCTGGCGCTGTTCCCGGCGCGGCCTTCCCCAACGCCAGGCCTTGCCATGGTGTCCAGAAAACTCCTCTCCACCCTCCAGGACCTCCGTTAAATGCTCCTGCCTCGGGAGGCCACCCTGCCTCCCTGTGTTCCTTCCGGTTTAGACTTTTCCGGGAAGTGCTCGCTCACTGCCTGGTGTTCTGGGTGTGGTTGGGCCGGGGTGATGGTGACACAGCGGCAGAGCAGTGGCGTGTTTTGGAGGCTGAGCCGGGAGGTGTGCGGAGGGACAGTCTGGGGTGGGTGTTGGGAGGTGGTGCTGCCGTGTGGGAAATGGAACTGGCTGTGCTGGGGGCTCCATGAACTGCCCGTGGGCCTATCTTCCAAAGCACCCAGACCCTGACCTTGGCCCCGACCTTGGGCTCTAGTGCTGGCTCTGCTTCTGCCTCCGACAAACCCCTTTCCTTCTGCAGGGCCCAGTAGACCCTATTTCCATCCGCCCGAGAGCACCTGGGTGTAGCTACATCCCAGTTTCACAGAGAAAGCGTTTTGGGAAGATGGGCTTCAGTCCTTTCATTCTTTGTGCACTGAGGGTTTTTAAAGTTGTTCCGTGAGGGAAAACATGATTTTGTTCATGTTTACCAATTTTAGATAAGAGTTGACAGCTTAGTGACTGAAAAAATGTACAGCATAGCTAGAAAAATAGGTCGCCACCACTGCTATCCATCAGAAACCTCACAAGCAAACGAAGAAATGCAGCCAAGGAACGTCCTTTGGACAAGAGGCCATGGCACTTTGGGGACGTGAAGGGACGTCAGCTGGTCTGGGGCATGGGGACCGCGTCCCTGAGGAAACAGCAGGGGGAGCTACCAAGGAAAGAGGGAGCACGCCGTGCACAGGAGTAGCATGGGCAAAGGCCCTGTGGCGGAGCGGGGCGGGGCAGCCGCTACCTGAGGCCGGCCACCAGGTACTGTGGGAGGACAGGGAGAGCCGGAGGTGAGCTCAGGCAGGGCTGCGGAGGGGGGCAGGTCCAGAAGGGCTGTGCTGGTCTTACCGAGGAGTTTGCCTTTTATTTCAGGAGCCGTTAGTTTCCCCCTGAATCTGACAGAAATAGCACTGGAGTGTTGACCCATCTCTTGAGCCTGTGCCCTCCGCACAACCTGGCCTGTGGGGGCAGTCCTGATCCAGTGGGATATCCTCTCCTGGAAACAAGTGGGATGAGCATGCTGGTCTTGAGCTTAAGTTGAACTTGGTAACTGGGGTCATTCCCGTACACTTGGGTCAAGGCCATAGGAGCTGATGGGCGGACTTTCCACCCAGCAGAGCTGAGAACTGGACACAGTCTGATAAAAGCAGTCCTTGCAGAAACCATTGCTCTCTCCTTCCCTCACCTGAAGATGAGTCCATTTGCTGCTGTTAAGATGTATTATTACTGGGGTGACAGAACACCAGGCAGCATTTCCTTGAGAAAATGAAGTCGCCATTTTGCAAGATGATTTCTGCTGTCTTCGGGCGGAAGGAACCCAAGGAACATGTTCTGACGTGAGCAGCACACGTGCCGGGCCAGTTCCCGCTTGAAGGACGGCTGTTTCGTCTGCGGCTCCCAGCAGGAGCACGTGCGCTGTGGGCGCCGGGTTGTCATCACTGGGGCCAGAGCTGTTGCCTAAAATGTGTTTCTGACAGATTGGAAGGTGTCCCCAGACACACAGAGGAGTTTCAGCCGACCTTGAACTTGAGAAATGTAATCCCTGTGCAATAACCAGTTAGCACCAGAATGATTCGGACATTATTTTCGGGTCTCTGATCTGGAAATTTCGAGTGATGGTAAAGTCAAGTTGCTGGAGTTGGGGTAACAGAACGTCACAGCTGGGTGTGTGGGGTGCAGCGACCACACGTGGTCCATTTCAGAAGGTCGGAGTGGGCTCTGGGTGGCCTTTCTTCTGATTGTGGGCTTGCCAATGGGCCAGGGAAGGGAAGGCACCACTTTGGATGCTCAGAATGGGTTTTCTGGGATTTTTCTAAATAATCTCTTAGAGTTTTTAGATTTAAACATGCGGACTGTGTGCCGTGTATTATTTTAAGTGCTTTAGATACATTAACTTGTTGAGTTTACTCCTCATAACCATTTTGAATGGTAGATACCATCCCCAGCCTCATGTTCCTTTCCCCAATGAGGCCCAGTGGTTCTGCCCCCTTTTCACACCCACACTGCTCACTGCCCACCCCGCGGCCCCCAGCAGGGACTGTAAGGACTGGAGGCCTTCTCACACCCCCACTGCTCACTGCCTTGCCCTGTGGGCCCCCAGCAGGGACAGTAAGGGCTGAGCAAAGGCAGTTTCTCTGGAGGAGGGCCCAGAGGCAAGCAGAGCAAGGGGGCAGGGATGTGCGGGAAGCAGGGGCCGAGTGCACATGCTATCAGCCACGTATGCTGTGGGCCACCGGGGTTTGTCTGCTGGGAACTGGACACGTGCTCAGGTTCCCAGCGAAGGGGCAGGAAGCTGAAGTGTCCACCCACTCCCTTCCATTCGGGGCTGAGGGCTGCTTCTGGGGAGTAACTTGCCAGCACTTTCCACTCGCCCTGCCAGTGGGCTGTGTGCTCATGCACTGGGGAGAGGAGTGACCCACCGGGCCCTGCAGGACACCTGGGCCGCCTCAGGCAGCGGAGCCATTCTGTACCAGGGGTTCAGAGCCAGGCTGCTTGGCTTTGAGCCCCAATTCTGCCCCTACCTTGCTGAGGGCTGCAGACAAGTTACTTGATATCTCTGAGCTTTTGACTCTTCAGCTGTCAACTGGGGACTTGGCACTTCTTGCCTCATAGGCTTCGGGAGGGTTGACTGAGATAATGTGTTTAGAATGGCATCTGGCGTGTCACAGCACTCAGATGTCAGCTTCCCCGTTGGAATAAAGCTCGCCCAGAGTGCTCCGGGCTCGGGAAGGGCTGTGTGTGGGTCGGAGCATCTACAGGGCCTTCTGCCTCCACAGCTGGGTCCGGGGCCGCTGGAGCTCCTTGCAGGGGTGGGGATGGCCGAGCAGCCAGCTTACACCAGGACAGGCGTTAATCACCCGAAAGGAACCCGGAGGCTGCCGAAGCGCCTTCACTCTCCCCTGCGCGGCCGTAAACAGCACTAACTCAGTCCTCGCTCCGAGCGCTTCCAGTGCTCCCTTTCCCCGTGAGAACCAAGTTCCAGGCCTCTGAGCCACAGACGTGAAAAGGCAGCCTTAGTGCACCTAAGATTTATGCATTTCACTCTATCCACCTCAACCTTTAAGACATTAAAATGAAAAAATGGTGGATGTTTTGTCAGCATGACAAGCAGAATGCTGGTGGAACCACCTGTAAAGAAGCCCTACACCTGGCAGTTTTAAGGCTCGAAGGAAGGGGGACTCTCGCTGACTGAAATCAGACTAGCCAGCTCTTCCCCAGGTCCACTCACATGCCAACGTTTCCCCTCCTCCCCTTCCCATCTCACTGAAAAGCGCCACCACCCTCCCAGGCACTCCACACAGAAGTGGAGCTGTCCTTCACGCCTGACCTCCCTCACCCGGTCCCTGTCCAGCCCTGAGAAGTCTGTCTCCCACGTCTTTCCCTCCTCACTGCCGACACTGAGTCAGGCCCGCCGTTTCTCACCGTGATGACTGCAGTCACTTCCTAAAGGTTTCACACTGGCCTCCTCTGAGTCCCTTCCCTAAACTCAGAGTGCTCTCCCCAGGGCCCTGTGAAATCCTGCTGTGCTCACTTCAGCCCAGACTTCTTGATGGTGTGCGAGGCTTTCTCAGCTCCTGGCTGCCTCCCAGCCCACGTCTGCCCTGCCTTCAGTGCTCCAGCCAGACTTTAGTCCTTTGAATGTGTCTTGTTGTTGGCTCAGTAAAGGCTTTCTGCTGCTGACTCCAAATTTTTTACCTGGATAACTCCTAAATACATTTTGTGCAGAGGACCCAATTCCTGCTGGGATACAAATTCTTTGAGCATCTGTATCTGCTTTGCTCCCTGATGGAGCCTTGAAATCTAGGGCAATACCTGGCATGTAGCAGGCACTCAATAAGTATTTCTTGAATGAGTGAATGAATCTTCCCTGATATTAAACCCCATGGAAAGCTTTTTGTTGCCTCTTTGTCTAATAAAGACAAGTGAGTAACGCAACAATAATAATGTCTACCATCCATTGAGCATCTGTTAAGTGACAGGAATGGTGCTGAGAATGTTGTGATACATTATCTCATGTCATTGACTCATTTTCTTGGGGAGGGGACTGAGATTTAGAAAGCAAATGCAAGTAAGTGCCTCTCTGTGGTAGTGGGCAGTCCTCATGGATCTTGTGTTCTAGTGTGAGGAGAAAGACAATAAGTTAAGAAACAAGTACATATCTAGTTTGTAAGGTGGTGATAAGAGAAATGAAGAAAAAGTAAATAAGGGGGAGGGAGATTGCTGAGAACTATTTCATGTCAAGCACTGGGGAAGAGCTCTCTTAGAGGTGAGGTAGCTCTGCAGAAAGACCTCCAGGTACAGGAGACAGAAAGTGCAAAGGCCCTGGGAAAATAATGTGTTTGGGGCTTTCAGAGAACAGCAATGATGACATGTGGTCATAGCAAGGAGAAGGGGCTGAAATAAGAGGGTGAAGAGTGGCCAGGTTTTCTGTGGCCTTTTCCTGTTTCTCTGACAGAGACAGGAAAGTCTGGGATTTTGGTGGAGGAGTGTTGTGAGCCAGGATTACATAGTTTGTCCACTGCCAGAGTTGGGATTCTAAGCTGAGCTTTTAATGCCACAATTTTCTCACTCCGAGAAGCAATCCAGTAACAAGGCCTGGCAGCTGCAGGTCTTACCTCTCCTTGTTCCAGAGCATTTGCTGCCATTTACTCCTCACAAAAGCAGGTCCCTCCCCCATTGCACTGAGGACAAATATGGGCTTCACCCATTCATTTATCCATTTAACCAGAAACTATATTGTTGTCAGGGAAACTATGGATAATGAGACACAGTCTGTGCCCCCACTGTTTTCAGAGTGCCTGGGGGAAAAGTAAACAGCCAGTTATCATCCAGTAAAAATGGGAGGTGAAAAGAATGAAGGGAGCAAATAGGAATACCTAGTTCAGACACAGGGAATCAAGGAGGACTTGCCTGAGGAAGTAAAACTAGGGTAACTAAGTTGACAAAAGAAGGAAGGAGAAAGAATAGCCATCCATAGAGAAGTAAGAGCAGGTGCAAACGCCCTGAGGTGGGAGGTGAAAGGATGAAGCTGGGTTCAGGGAAGAAGCACTCAAGGAGTGATGTGGTGGGAGAGGCAGGTAGGGCCCAATCATGCTGACCACATTGGCCAGTACATGTTCCAAGGTCTTTATCCTAACAAGGAGTCACTACTGAAGCATTTTAAGCAGGTGGTGACTCAGTTGGGTGTGAAAAAGTGGAAACTTGCTCTGGCTACATGTGAAGCCCAGTGTGGAGGGAACCAAGGTGACTGTCCAGGTGAGAACTGATGGCAGGTGATGTTGGTGGAGATGGAAAGAAGATGAATTTTAGAGGCCGAGAGGAGGAAAAGGTGACTGCTCCTGGTGAGATGTGAGGGCTCCAAGAGAAATGGAGGTGCCAAGGTTGGCCTCCAGGTTCTGGCCTTGCAGAGTGGGATGTTGGCCATGGTTTTTATGGGACAGAGTTGTTGAGTGGCAGGAACGTCTATATGTGTCTTCCTATGAAGGCATTGTCAAACCTTAACGATGTGTCTTGTGTTTCCCCCTCCAGAGGGCCAAGATCGGCCAGACACCCAAGACTCCAGAAGAAAAAACTACCAACACCATAGCCAAATTTGACAACAATGGGAACAGGGACCGGATGAAGCTGAGTGATTTTAACTTCCTGATGGTGCTTGGGAAAGGCAGCTTTGGCAAGGTACAGTGTTGTTTGATCGTCATCCCTGCTCCAGAGAAAAATTACTAAAAAGATAAACACATGTGTCTGAGAAGGTGACATACAAACTGAGACCTGAGGGTGAGAATGAACGAGCTAAAGATTCAAAGAGCTAGGAGAGAACAGCATGTGCAAAGGTCCTGGGGTAGAGAGGGCTTGGCACATTTTAGGTATCATCAGAAGGAGCTGAGGCCAAAATGTCATGAATGAGGGAGGTAGTAGGATGCGAGGTTGAATAGATGGGCAGGGCCTGGTCATGCACAGCCTTATGAGCCAGGGTGGGGACTTTGGATTTTACTCACAGTGCAGTGGAGAGCCTCAGAGAGAGTTTAAACAGAAAAGTGACACAATCAGATTTGCCTTTTGGAAAAGATCACTCTTGCAGCCAAGAATGGAGACAATTTCTTTCAGATCGCAGCACAGTTGAAGGCCCTGTAGACTGGTTCTGGATGCTTTTATAGATGCCTGGAGAGACTTTTACTGAACTTGAGATGGTATCATAAGTATTCCCGACTTGTTTAGTGTTGTGTTGAGCCTTTTAAACCCTTTTGTGCCACAAATATGTCTAGTATAAATCTCATACCATGAATGTGGGTGTGCAAAGAATACAAGTTTCTTCCCCATCTCAGTAGCCTAAGTAAAGATATGAGTTATTCTTGAGTTGCCCTCACGCTGGTTGTGCGCCAGCTGTGAATCAGCTGGTGAGTCCTGGCACCTGCTTCCCCAGAGCACGCCGGGCACTGACACTTCTCTCCACACTCCCTGAAGCAACCTGCGTTAACCACGTGCGCCCCTGGACTGCTGCAGAGATTCCTCGCTCTTTCCCGCTTCCACCCCTCCCACGTAGCAGCCATAGTCATTTCTTAAAACACTACATTAGGTCAAGGCACTCCCCTGCTTGCAACACTCCAATATCTCTTACAATTAGAATAAATTCTATACTATGTTGTGGATTACATCATTCTTTTTTCTAATGTATATTTTTATTGATTTCAGAGAGGAAGGAAGAGGGAGAAAGAGATAGAAACATCTTTGATGAGAGAGAATCATTGACTGGCTGCCTCCTGCATGCCCTGCATTGGAGATCGAACTCGAAACCCAGGCATGTGCCCTGACTGGGATTTGAACTGTGACTTCCTGGTCGATAGGTCAACACTCAACCACTGAGCCACGCCAGCTGGGTTGGCTTACATCATTCTTAATGATGGCTCTTGATATAAACCCCACTCAACGACTTCCTTTTCTTCCTCCCGCCACCCACTCTGCTTGGTGGTTCTTGGGATTGTGAAACAGACAAAGCTCCTTCTGCCTCAGAGGGTTTGTGATGCATGGCTGGCTCCTTCTTGTCATTCCCAACTCGACCTAGAGGTCATCTCTTTTGGGAAGCCTTCCCTGACCGCCTGCCCAGAGAGCCACTCATTCATTCTTCACTTTATTTCACTCTCCTAGCACCCATCACCAGATACTACTGTTCTTGCTTGTATTGGTTTGTCTTTCTCCTCCTCCTAAGATCTGACCTGCACAAGAGCAGGGACCTTCTCGGTTGTGTTCACCACTGTACTCTCAGTGCCTGTGGATGGCATTGAGTCAGGGCCGAGACTGAATGCTAGGCTTTCTCTCTGGGGCTCAGGTGGGGATCTGGCCCATGCGGGAACAGCCTCTTATGGGATGGGTGCTGAGAGCAGGAGCATGCAATAGGGTTGCTGAGCAGTCCCACATACCCAGGAAGAAGTTGGTAATGACCGTGGTCCGCCCACTGCATGCTCTTTGCCAGCAGCTCTGAGCAGCCTAGATGTGGAGACTTGGGTGGTAGGAGGAGTTTACAGTAATGAGGGCGGTAAGGATTCTGGGATGGGGGATGCCCAGTGCAGATCCACCGGAGCCCACTTCCAGCAGGTTCTCAGTAAAAGCAGAACAGATAAGTGGATGCAGACAGTGTCTAGACCGGGCTGGGAGGAAGTTGGAGCAGGAGGAAGGTGGTGACCTGGCAGAAAGAAGGAGTGTGGAGGCCTGGGGCTGAAAAACAAATGGAGGCGGTCAAGAGATTTAAAATGCTAAAAACAGGCATTTGGATCCAAAGTTGGGGCGGTTTCCGTGATGACATGGAAGAATGTGGCCTAAATGAAGAGTTCTAATTGGATGAGGCTTTTGGAAAGTTTTTTAAATTATATTTTTAGCAAGCAATACCTCCCCGGTTCCTCATTAAAATTATATTTAAAGGGTAACTATTTTGAAGTCTTGCTCCCACCCAAGTTTGCATCTTTCCGTGGCCCCACCCTGCTACTGCCCTCCGCAGGTTAACACTTTTGTTCATTTAGTTTGCATCTTTGCAGTGTCTCTATGTTCATTTAAAAAGTATAAATGTACATTTTTATTCTTAGCCTTGTACCTCCAAAGTTAACAGTGTAGGTTGGAGAGGTTTTTATTGCGGAATGGAAGCTCCAGAGGGCTTGGTGGAAAGGGTTGGGGCTCGGGGAGGGGGTGGAGAGATGGGAGAGCGGGCCATTGGGGAGCAGTGAGGGAATGAGCGAGGATAGATGATATGTCTGCTTGGAAACTGTTATAATAATTGAAAGTTCAGTTTCAGACTGGGGATATGGCATCAAATAAATGACTACAACAGTATGCCATGAAAACAACTGGGTAACAAAAACCTCTGCGATCCTTCAAAACAAGTAGTTTTGCCAACCGAAGTTTTACATGGATGTGGCTTTATATTTATATGCCCGCGTTTCACATTTTGCAGTCTGGTTAGGCAGATAGATCACACCCCTTAAAGGGGAGAGCACCCCAGGGCAGCTGCTACCCCCCACATTTTAATGCATTTCAAAGCAAGTTGCAGATGTTGGTACACTGTTCCCTAAACTCTTCAGCATGCATATCATTGAGCCAGAATTCAGTATTTGTTTTGAACTATTTTAAGAGGAAATTTACATACAACGAAGGACACAAATAAGTATAGCGATGAGTTTTGTAAAACATGTACTTTAAAAACCCTGTGGGGATGTACGTATTGATCTAAAAACTCACACAGATGTGATATGCCACTGAGTCAGATATGCTGAGAGGGCCTACAGAGTAGGGGGGGCCTTGCTGAAGGCAGGGAAGGCTTCTAGGCCGAAGGGACTCGAGCGATATCTGGAGGACTGGCAGGACACAGATCGGGGACGGAGCGTGTGCAGGTCTCTTCCTGGTCAGAGCCCAGCCAGGCTTGGTTGATCTGGGTGTGGCCAGGGCACTAGGCTCCTTTGTAGCTACCCCAGTCCTCGCCCCGCCCCATGTATACTGGCTCAGATGTCATGTCAGACACCATGGAAGCTTCCTTTCACTCATGTATCAGTACCAGGTAGGTGTTTCTGGCCTCGCCCACATTCTCCATGTGGTGGTTAAGGGACCCAGGTTCCTTCCACCTCATGCCTATGGCCTCGTTCTGTCTGTCTCCATTCAGAGGCAGAGGGGAAAGAGAGTATGGAGGAAGTTCAATTTGCTTCTGAAAAGTCTTAATTTGGAAAAGGTACCTGTCGCTTCTGCTGACCCACTGGTAGCGAGAACTTAGTCGTATGGCCTTCCCTCATGCAAGGGAAGCTAACCACTCAGCTACACGCTCTGCTTTTGAGCTGCTGTTGGAGTTTTTCTTGGGGACAGCAAAGACCTTCTGCTTTCCCCTTATAACTCCCAACCTATCACACCCACGTGCAGAAACCTCAGGATCCCCCTCCCAGTGATATTCCTTGTGTTAATGCTGCCTTCCTGAAGCACAGCATAAGCTGGGGGTGAATCAAATAGGAAGTTAGTGTATGAAAGGAAAAAGTGGAGCCCCTTTAGAAGCTGGGGCTCATGTGTTACATTTATCATCTCAAAAAGTCCCATCCAGGCCTGTTGCTCTGTATGCATCTAAGAAGCACTAAAATCAGCAGCTGCAGCCTTCTTCAGTGCTTGAGGGCCTGAGGGTCACTAAGAAGGCCAAGGGGCAGGCTGCGGCCCTCCCAGACTCAGCGCATGTGCTCTCCAAGGTGCTGATCCAACTCCTTTAGCTCAAAATTCACAGGCAACAGGTTGAGTAGAGCCTTGGCCAAGTTTCCTAAATATTTGTTATTCATGCACCTGTCTACGTTTTGCCATATACATGCCTCCTTTATACTACCTTAAATATTTTCTTTAAGTTGATGTAGTTGTCTTCCTTTTATTTTCCTTTTTTAAAAATACTCACCCAAGAATATGGAGGGGAAAGATGGGTGGGGAGGGGGAGGGGAGAGACAGGGAGATGAGAGAGAGAAAGAGAGAGAGAGAGAGAGAGAGAGAGAGAGAGAGAGAGAGAGAGAGAGAGAGAGAGAGAAGCATTGATGTGAGAGAGAAACATTGATCTGTTGCCTCCTGTACATGCCCTGAGATTGAAGATAAAACCTAGGTATGTGCCCTGATTGGAAATTGAACCCTCAACCCTTTGGTGTATGGGACAAGACCCCGACCAATTGAGCAACCCGGCTAGGGAAGACTTCCTTCTCTTGCTCTTAGAATTGCCCAAAGCAGTAATATTGGTGAAACCACAGGCTTGATATGTCTGTTATATGTTTAATGAAGATCTGGTGCATGAAATTTGTGCACTTGGGGAGGGGTCTGTCCCTTTTCCCAGATTGCAAGAGGGTGCAGGTCAGGCTGAGGGACCCCACTGGTGCACTGGTGCAACGCTGGAGGTTGGCAGGGGAGGGGCTCAGTCCCAATCAGCCAGATCCCAACAGCACGCTAACCTATCAGTTGGAGCATCTATCCCCTGGTGGTCAGTGCACATCATAGTGACTGGTTGACCAGTTGAGTGTCTGCTCCCTAGTGCCTGTCATAGCAAATGGTTGAGCGGCCTTAGTATATCATTAACATATTACACTTTGATTGGTTAAACGGATGACCAGACGACCAGACACTTAGCATATTAGGCTTTAATATAGGATTTTAGTGTGCTTTAAGAGAATTTAGTTTTTTTAAAGTAATTTTGCTCATGGTACAGGTACCACATTTTATGGAAAACTGTCTTAAGATCTTACACTCACAATGAAAATTTGGACTTTCAGTTACTATTGTATTTGAAAGGACATGAAGTGTTTTTGCTACATTTCTGTTCATATCGGGCGTGGTTATAACCCTGCAGACAAGCCTGTCCCTTCATCACCTGCTGTGCCCTGCCGGCCACACACACACACACACACACACACACACACACACACCCGAAGCCCCTGGATCACAGGCTCACAGAAGCTCACAGCCTTTGCCGCTGCAGCCTTGACCCCACCCCCCACCCCCCACCCCCCACTCCCGCCCCAGAACAAGTTCACATTTGCTGTCTGATCTTGCTTCCGGCCTTCTCTTTGGTCCCATCCCAATTATAGCATGCTCCTCCCAGCCCCAGTCTTTCATATGCGATTCTCATTGCTGCATGTTTTTGCCAACTCATCTCCCCAAATCCTGCGAGGCCCTCTCCCTCTGCCAGTTCTTCAGTTCTTCGGGGCCCTTCTTGTGCCGGGCTGGCTCGGCTCTTCGGCCCTGCCTCCGCTCCTCAGTATGCCATAAATGACAGGCAAGAACATCTAAGGGTCCCTTTTCCCAACAGAGACAATAGAATAACGAAAGGGAGGTGCCTGGACCCTGGGGCTTACAGTGAGGGCGGGCCGCTCACTGGGAGGACACGGCATGCTTCTGTGTGTCTCCCAGCACCAAGGGCAGGGCAGGCGTGCATGGGGAGGCGAGGGCTTCTGGAAGCCCCACAGCCACTGTCTGTCCTGCCCCAGCCTGTCACCCTGCTTCTGGCCCAGCCAAGCACCACCTCCCCCACGTCTGCTGCTCTCGGCTCTCAGCATCTGTCCCAGGCTGGGAACACCTAGAGCTAAGTCCCAGGAAAGAGCAGCAGTGGCTCAGGGGACACGTGGTTCAGTTGGCCAAGGTGGGGCGGGGGGGGCACTTTCCACCCAGCCCTGAGGGAGGATGGCCCAGGGACTGGAACGCGGGTGGCAAACACGGGACTTAAGTCTGCATGCATGTTCTTTAAAATGTGGCCTGGCTCTAGGGAAAACAATCTGAAGTTAAACCTGGGCCTTCATTGAAGGGCCAGCTGGCGCCTGTCAACATGGAAACTGTCCCCGGTGGTAATTCCCGGCCCCTGGTCCCGTCACTGAGCTGTCAGGTCTGCACCCGCCATGCAGCCATCTTGCCTGCAGCCCCCGAGCAGGTTCAGAGACTCAGAGCTCTCTGCGATGAGTCCCTGACTCCCGCCAGCACGGCCATCACCTAAAACAACCCCAACAGCGGAAACCTGGAGGGAGTAGCCGGCCAGCGCGGGCACATGTGCTGGGCGTGCAGACGTGGATGGTGAATGTGAATAAATGAGCCTCGCTTATTGCAACTCCCCTTACACCGTCCCCTTCCCGTAATGGACAGGCCTGAGGACGTGTCTGAAGTGTGTCACATACACCGTTCATGGGATCTGCACAGTGACCTTGGGGCGGGGGCGCTGTTGTCTCCACTTTCTTGAGGAGCCCGGAGAGCAGAGGGTGGAACTGGAGCTGCAGCCCAGCAGGGAGTGCGGCTCACACCCGCAGCTGGCTCCTGCCCGCAGGCCAAGGCCGCACTGCCCACCGCTCAGCCCTGCCCACACCCACAGTGTGAGGTGTGCTGGAGGAGGTGATCAATGGTTCTTTCTCATCATAGATGTTTGTATCTCTTACTCTCTCTTCCTTGCTGAAATCGATAAAAATGTATTTTTTTTTAAAAAAAGAAAGGAATTTGCCTTGTGTTAAGGGGCTTCCTGAATTTTTTATTTTCATTAAGATTTTGAGCTATTCCAGCAATAACTTGTGTTGTAGGCTCTCTAAGAAACATAAATGCAGCCAGACTGATTTAATTTAAATGTGAAGGATGTTGTATTGGAGGGATAGGGAGGTTTCTAGTGGGAAACAACTGAGCCTCCTGAGAGGCTGGAATCAGGAGCTGGGAAGTGAGGCGTCTGCTCATTCTCCGACCTCCTCCTCCTCACACGTCTGTTCTGTCCTTCTTCGCCCGCCGGTGGTGAAAGGAACCACTGTGGGCAGCTCTGTGTTCTCCCAGGGCCAGGACTGACTGCTTGGAGTTTCCTAATTGCAAATTCTTAGGGAGAGAATCCGATTGGCTAAACTTAGGCTGGCCATCTACCAATCAGCAGTGGCCAAGTGGGTCCACTGCCCAATCAGAAAGTTCTTCCTTAGAGGCTCCTAGGGAATGGTACCTGCTGTCATGGCTCCCTGTGGCACAGCCCCGACCAGTGGCAATATTGATGTGTCGTGAGCCACCCAAGTGATTACCTGCCCTGACGGACCAGGCTGCATGATGGAGGCCCCAGGGCGACAGGAAAGGCACTGACATACCCCATTCACCATCCTGTGATCGTGTCTGTGCTCTTCCCCCCCCCCCCCCCCCTGCTTCGGAGCACAAAGTCAGAGCATGTTCCTGCCGGCTCATTGCCGTTCCCAAGCTTACAGGCTCGTGATGAATATTAAAAGAATAAGAGAATGAGAGCCCCATATTTCATTTGATTAAGAATCTCCTCTTCCCACAAATATTTATTGAGCACCTACTATGGGCCAGGGGCTATGCCAGGGTCTTGGTTACACCAGGGAACAAAACAGGTAGCCTGCCCTCAGGGGGTTACCTTAGCCCCGTGGCTGGGCGCTGACCCACATCCCAAAGGGACCGGCCTGTGGTGGGTGGAGCCACTGCAAGTGTGAGGCCTGTGGGTGTTCAGTGTCCGTAGAAGCCTGTGGACAGAGCCGGGGAGGCTGTGACGGACAGCTCCCCCGGCCCGAGCCCCCACCCAGCCTCCTGCTGTGTCTCCCCAGGTGATGCTCTCCGAGCGGAAGGGCACGGACGAGCTGTACGCCGTGAAGATCCTGAAGAAGGACGTGGTGATCCAGGACGACGACGTGGAGTGCACCATGGTGGAGAAGCGGGTGCTGGCGCTGCCCGGGAAGCCGCCCTTCTTGACCCAGCTGCACTCCTGCTTCCAGACCATGGTAACGGGGGTGGGGGGCGCTGGCGCTCCACCTCCAGCGTGTCAGTGTGTTTGGGCCAACGCTGTCCCAGAGACGCCGGTGCCTCCCATGATGGCAGGGACCCTGGGGCCAGAGAAGGGTGCTGAGAGATGCGCTCCCCGGCGACACGTGCCCCGTGGGCACCCCTCCGGGCCCTTTTCTGGGGTCCGGTACCTTCCCCACGTGGCACGGACCTCCTTGGAGGAGGGGTTCCTAAGGACACAGCCCTTGGAGGACCCCTAGGTGTGAGCTCAGAGCTGTGAGCCCCGAAAGGGGACATTTGTGCACTAGCCTCTGTAGACTGTAACTCCAACTCTGAGAGCAAGCAAGCCCTGTACGAACGGCTTAGCCTTGTCCCTGCTTAAACCAGACCGTGGCCTCCTCACCTAAGGGGGCGGGGGGTGGAAGGGGCAGAGCCCCTCCTGCAGTTGTTAGTTTGAATCCTTTAATAGAAAGGCTCGGACGCCCTCCTCTGTGCCTGCTTCCCCAGGGGTGCGGTTCACGTGGGAAAGGCAGGACGAATGCTGGATCCGTCCCGTTGTTGAGCAGTTTCCATGGGTTGGCTCATTATTATGCTCCAAAGGCGACTAACGTTTGCTTTTAAAATAAAATGTCCGAGTAAGGGAGTTGGTGCTAAGAAAAACGGTCAGAGAGCAGTGCTTCATGTCATACGGGGACTTGGCAGAGCTGGGGAAGGGCTGCTCTCTAGTCCAAACCTGGGGAGTTGCGGCCTCAGGAATGCATGTGGGGCCTGCGACCGGACCAGCCTCTAGGCCCCTCCCTCCCGTCTTCTCCTTGCCCTCCGGTGGTCCCCAAGTCGCCTGGCGGGGTCCGCGGGGGAAGGGCTCGGTTGGTGAACGGACTGGATGGAGACCTCGTCTCCAGGCAAGGCTGGGCCTGCGGAGCGGTTTTCCATTTCAGCTGCGTGTTGAGAAACAGTCACCTGGGATGAATATTTGCAGAAGTTTGATGTCTTCGTTTGTAACTGACTGTTTTAGAAACGATACGTTAGCTTTGAAATCGCTCCTGACCGCTGGGCAGTGTGTGCTTCCGGGGTGGGAGCGCGGGCCTGGTCTGTGGAGTAGGTGTCCTCTCAGTGGGGGACAATGCAGGGCAGAGGAGAGAGGTTTGGGCCCCAGAGAGAGCCCAGAGCCTGCGACACAGGAGGTGCTTGTCTTGCGTGGCTCAGGTCCCCAACGCTAAGCGGCCGGTCCTCGTGCCCTGCACGTGTCTCCCACTGGGAGGACCTTACTTCCCGCAGGGACCAGGCGCTGTTGGAAGGGTCGATGAGGGAGCGATGTAAAGTGTAAGGAGCGTCTACAGGAGCGAGCCGCTGTTAGCCTGGCTCAGGTGAGCCGCACAGCGACTTCCTGCTAGGAGGCCCCCCACCCCCAGGAAGCCCCTGCCTTACACTTACCCTCTGGAGCCACACATTCCCTGCACCCCAGACCGGTGCCCGGAGGAGGCAGCCCGGCTGGAAAGACGGGCTCTCTAGAGCCGTGTCCCTAAGAGTCCGACCAGCACTGCGATGGACAGAGGCTAATGCAGTGTTATGTGCTGGCATCCACGATTCAGGACTCAGCTGCGTCACTGCGAGGGGACAGCAGCACCAGGAGCGACAAGCCCCTGTCCGAACAGAGAGGCCGGAAGCCACGGTGGCAACAGAGCAAAGCGGCTGAGGCGGCTGGGCTGGGACACGGAGATGCTGCTTAGGGTAGGAGGACCCGGAAGGTCTTCCTGCTGAGGTTGGCATTTTAGCTGCCAGTGAGGGGGTGAGGGAGTGAGGCGGTGAGGTGGTGAGAGGGTGAGGGGGTGAGAGGGTGAGGGAGTGAGGGAGGGAGTGAGGCAGTGAGACAGTGAGGGAGTGAGACAGTGAGGGAGAGAGGCAGTGAGGGAATGAGGCGGTGAGGGAGTGAGGGAGTGAGGCGGTGAGGGAGTGAGGGTATGAGGCAGTGAGGGAGTGAGGGAATGAGGCGGTGAGGGAGTGAGGGAGTGAGGCGGTGAGGGAGTGAGGGTATGAGGCAGTGAGGGAGTGAGGCGGTGAGGGAGTGAGGCAGTGAGGGAGTGAGGGAGTGAGGCAGTGAGGCAGTGAGGGAATGAGGCGGTGAGGGAGTGAGGGTATGAGGCGGTGAGGGAGTGAGGCGGTGAGGGAATGAGGCGGTGAGGGAGTGAGGGTATGAGGCAGTGAGGGAGTGAGGCGGTGAGGGAGTGAGGCAGTGAGGCGGTGAGGGAGTGAGGGAGTGAGGCGGTGAGGGAGTGAGGGTGTGAGGGAGTGAGGCAGTGAGGGAGTGAGGGTGTGAGGGAGTGAGGCAGTGAGGGAGTGAGGGAGTGAGGCAGTGAGGGAGTGAGGCAGTGAGGCAGTGAGGCAGTGAGGGAGTGAGGCGGTGAGGGAGTGAGGCAGTGAGGGAGTGAGGGTGTGAGGGAGTGAGGCAGTGAGGGAATGAGGCGGTGAGGGAGTGAGGGTATGAGGCAGTGAGGGAGTGAGGCGGTGAGGCAGTGAGGGTGTGAGGCGGTGAGGGTGTGAGGCGGTGAGAGAGTGAGGGAGTGAGGCAGTGAGGGTGTGAGATGGTGAGGGAGTGAGGCGGTGAGGGAGTGAGGCGGTGAGGGAATGAGGCGGTGAGGGAGTGCGGGTATGAGGCAGTGAGGGAGTGAGGGAGTGAGGCAGTGAGTAGTGAGGGGGTGATGGAGCTGGCTGACAGTGTCTGGGCCAGTTCCCTAGGTAGGAGGACCGTGCTGCGGGGCCTCGGTGGGAAGTGCACAGGAGCAGCGAAGGCCACTGTGGAGTATATTGTCAGTTTGTGTTTTGTGCTCAGAATTTCTTTATGAGTTAGCTTCCTTTAAAAAATAACAAACCTGATGTAACGCTGCAAATTTGATATTTGTGTTGCTAGATATTTGTCTTGAAGATAAAAGATCCTTAGTACTATTAAAAAACACACACAGCACCTTAAGGAGGTAAAATAGATAAAAGAACAAAGACTCCACTGATATACAAAGCGCCTTTTGTCATTCTTAAAATGTTGCCAATTTAATGCCTGAAACCTGGTGTGGTAAAGCAGAGTTCTGTCAGATGTGTTCTTAGAGGATTGGATTGGAAACCTTTGAGAAACAGGCACGACGCAATTTTAACCGAAAATGTAGGAGGTGCGTTTATTTAAGAGATGATTCTAAACGTGAGGAAGTGGGAGGTGCGCATGGAAAGGAACAGGAAGAGCAGAACAACCAAAACGCTGGTGTGAATTAGGGAGGTCACCAGTGACCTTCTGGGTCTTGGAAAGTGTCTGTCGCAAAGCAGTTTGCAAAGTGTTGCGTGCACCACACGGTGGAAGCGCTGACACCCAGCCAGACTCAGAAGCCACCCTTAGGGCGTGAGTGCTTGGAGACTGCTCACTGCGTGAACTGGCCTCAGGCGGACGGGGCCCGGGGAAGTGTTCTCGAGCGAGTACAGGGGGTAAACGTGAGCCTCCGGCACAGAAACTGGGGGCTGTGACTCCTGGTAGCTCTGCACGTGGGTCATCGTCTTTATTTTTAATTTTTATTATTTTTTAATTAAATTATTATCTGTGTACATATTTTACCATTGTCCCCCCCCCCTCCCATACATGCCCTCCCTCCCCAGAGTTTTGTGTCCATTGGTGGTACTTATGTGCATGTATACAAGTCCTTCAGTTGATCTCTTATCTCCCCCAGATCTCCCTCCCCTCCCCACTGTAATTGACAGTCTGCTTGTTGCTTTACTGTCTTTATATCTATATTTTGGTTCATCAGTTTATAAAGGGCCGGTAAGCGGGATTAAGAGCGGTGATGTTCCGAGCGCAGGGCAGCAGTGCGCCGCCCGCTGGGCTGGGGGCACCTTGCTGCGGGGACAGGAGGGGACAGGTTTCCCCAAGGCAGTTGTCAGCCGCCACATTCACGAAAACTCCCAACTGCCAGTGGGCACAGGCAGTGAAGCCTTCTTAGCAAAACATCTATTTTAAATGTTTTCTTTTTGATTGAACATATGCACTTCTTAAAAAAAAAAAATAGAATTAGATTTTATGAGTCATTGAAGGATAGAAGTTACTTCCCAAATTTGCAGTCTTGGCCCGATAAGAACTCAGTTGCAAGGCATGCTGGGAGGGACATCAACCCAGAATGCAGTAGGGGACAGGAAGGGAGACAGAGATGATTGCACCTGTAGAGTTGGCCCCTGATGACTTGAATGTCCAAAAAGTCCTGGTGCCTTAGGTGGGCTCTGGGCTGGCAGCAGCCCCAGGGAGGTGGTCTGGCACAGGGCGCTGCAGAAGGCAGCTGGGGCAGCAGTCTCAGCCAGGAGGGGTGCACAGAGCACACCTCCTCCAGACTTTCTTTTATACACACACTAGAGGTCCGTTTGCATGAAATTTGTGCATGGGGGTGTGTGTGTGTGCATGTGCACGCGTGTCTCTCAGCCCAGCCTGCACCCTCTCCAATCTGGGACCCCTCCAGGGATGTCCAACTTTCCATTTATGCCTGATTCCACTGAGACCTAAACGGGCAGTCGGACATCCCTCTCACAATCCAGGACTGCTGGCTCCCAACCACTCGCCTGCTTGCCTGCCTGATTGCCCCTAACCATTCCCCTGCCAGCCTGATTGATGCCTAATTGCTCCCCTGCTGGCCCGATTGTTCCTAACTGCTCTCCCCTGCTGGCCTGGTCACCCCCAACTGCCCTCCCCTATAGGCCTGGTACCTCCCCAACTGCCCTCCTCTGCAGGCCTGGTTGTCCCCAACTGCCCTCCCTTACAGGCCTGGTTCCTCCCAATTTCCCTCCCCTGCAGGCCCGATCACTCCCAACTTCCCTCTCCTGCAGGCCTGGGTCCCCCCCAAATATCCTCCCCTTCAGGCTTGATCACCCACAACTGCCCTCCCTTGCTAGCCACCTTGTGTCTACATGGGGGCAGCCATCTTGTGTATTAGAGTGATGATCAATTTGCATATTACCTCTTTATTATATAAGATTT